TACAGTTGAATAAGAAGATGTTTACATACACCTGAGCCAAATCAATTTAGGCCAAGTTTTTCACAACTCCTGATTTAATATACGGTAAACATTCCCTGTCTTAGATCAGTTAGGATCACTGCTTTATTTTAAGAATGTGAAATGTCAGAATAATAGCAGAGAAAAAGATTTATCTCAGCTTTTATTTCTCTCATCACATTCCCAGTGGGCCAGAAGTCCACATAGACTCGGTTAATATTTGGTAGCATTGCCTGTAAGTTGTTTAGCTTGGGTCAAACATTTCAGGATGCCTTCCACAAGCTTTTTACTCCACTCATTTTACTATAGATTTAGATACTTTGGTACCTGTTTGGACCAAAGTACATTCATCTCTAGGAGACAGAACACGGTACGATGGCTGCATTGTCCCAAGATGTTTGTACTTGCATAGTTTGTACAGATGAACGTGGTACCTTCAGGCGTTTGGAAATTGTTCCTGGGATGAACCAGGCTGGTGGAGGTCCACAGTTTTTTCTGAGGTTTTGGCTGATTTCTTTAGATTTTCCCATGATGTCAAACAAAAAGGTACTGAGTTTGAAGGTAGGCCTTAAAATACATCCACAGGTGCACCTCCTGTTGACCCAAATGATGTCAGTTAGCCAATCAGAAGCTTCTAAAGCCATGACATCATTTTCTAAAAATTTCCAAGCTGTTTAAAGGCCCAGTCAACTGAGTGTATGTAAACTTCTTTAAAAATGGAAAAAATATGTGTGTCATGCATAAAGTACACATCCTAACTGACTTTCAAAACAAGAGTGTGTTATTATGACATCTGGTTAAAGTGGTTAAAAACAGATTTAATGACTTCAATCCAAGTGCATGTAAACCTCTAACTTCAACTGTACATCTTCAGATGTTGTGTTTTGCTTGACCAGCAGTCCCAAACTCAAAATATAGTCAGTTTGCAACAACAAAAAATCCACATTTGAGAAGTTGCAACTAGATAGTTGTTGGCATTTCTTCCCTTGATAAACAACTGATTGATTATCAATTGTTGCCAAATAATTTTAGGTCTAATCTGTTAATTGATTTGTTTCACTTAGGCCTAATAGTTTCAGCATTATTTACTCCAAATGACCTTAGAAATGTAAAGAAATGCTTATCATTGTAATGAACTCCAATACAACATACTGTACCTTTTGAAAAATGGAAACATGCTGGTTATGGTCTAACAGAGGTGTTTTTAGAGATGCGACAACTGCAACTTTCTGGGCTGGTTCCAATTAACAATTTTTTTTAAGGCTGACCTGCTGATTCTGATTTTGGCCAATTGTGATTTTCTTTCGTTCTATGAACTGTAATAGACAGCATACACAGACATTTCTGTAACCTTTCTTTACTGTAACATGGATAAAAACAAAACAGCTGTACATTTTCCATTTTTCTCTCATTTTTCAAAAACTCTTTTACAAACCTCCAACTAAAAATGAAGTGCAGTATTTGTACTTCTCAACCAGGTGCAACAGGTAAAAGAAACAGAAGAATGTGTGTTACTACTGAGCACACAGTTCTTTTTGAAGTGTGTGTAGTTTGTATTTGCCGTGTTTTACCATGGGTTGGATACACTGTACATGTGAATTCCCTCACTGTGTACTATTTGTCAGAGATTTAGTTTTGCTTTTGCTTTTGCTGTAGTGTTCTCTGTGCACTTTTTGTACACCAGTCACTTCCAATGCACAAGTGAACATGCACCTGTTGTAGACATGAGCGCGAGTCTTGCTTGAGGTGCGTGCGAGATGCTATGCACTACACACACTGCACTTTTGTTTGTGCCACTGAGTGCATGACATGGGCTGTTGTGCCTCTAAATCTGACTGGAAATCCGGAGATCGGCCTTGACCAGCGACTGGCCGATCTCCACTGGTTGATTGGTGCACCTCTAGTGTTAATTCAACTTTATGATCATTGTTTAGACGGTAGTATTTGGTATTGTTAATGTACTGCTTTCATATCACTTTTACATATATGAATGGATTATCTACAGTATGGTTTTTTTTTCAATTGTATTGTATCGGAGTAAATGGGAGTAAAACCAAAATTGACAGAAACACTGACTACCTGTTGTGTGTAGATCTCTTTGTACATGCTTGTTTGATAGAACGGCTGACATGTTACCAACTTGAAATTTAAACCTAAACAGAGAATGCAGAAATGTTGCATACATAATGCATGTCCTAACGCTTACACATGCACTTATTGTGTTCACTCTTTCTGTCTTAAGCACACACCCTGACAGGCCTGTGTATATCTGTTTACCTCAGGTTTGTATGGGCATGTCAGGTCTGCTCCTACCCACTGACAGGGAACTGGAGAAGCTAGCGTTGTCCTCGCCTGTCCTGGCTGTTTTCTTTCTCTTTCTCCCTCTGCTTTTCACCAATTCTTTTCTCTCTTCTCTTTTTGTTTCCAAGCAGCCGTCACATAGCTGTATTCCTTCACAGACAGATTCTCTTTTTCCACTATTTAAAAAGGGTAAACTAATTTTTTCAACGTAGAGATGCATGCAACGCATTGACTGGCTCAGTCTTTCCTCGCCCTGCTCTCTCACACACTGACAACGAACCGTCTATGAACAGCTCCTCCTCTACGTGTCTGTTTTTAAACACAATGCTGTCAGTTGCAGAGACACAAAGTCTTCTATTATATTATAGCAAGCTAGTAAGGATAGCTAAGCTAACGTTAGAATATGACTGGCTGCCGAGGTCAGAATGCTGAATATAGCTGCTAGTCAGTAATGACTGCTCTGCAAGTGGATGAGGTTAATGCTAATTCTAAAACTTTGTTGCTGAATGTTTGCTCCCTCAGTCCAGAGGAACATTGAAATATGTTTTCTAAGACTCAGAGGACTTGTCTTCTGGAGGTGTGGACAGTATGGACCAAAGGTAGTAGCAAAACTGAGCTAACATTAGAAACAGCCTAACCAGTGTGAATACTAATCCAGTTAATTGGTTTCCAACATTTCCAGACTTCACCCAGTGCTGCTGAAGCAGCAAGAGATCTAGGAGTAGAGGAGGCCAGCAGCTTAGGTCAGTGCAGAAGCAACAGGTCAGATGGAGCAAACACAGAGAGATGTAGAAGCAAAGCGACCTTGTTTCTGTTTTTGTAATAATGTTTACCGAATGAAAAAGGCGAAACACAAGCGTTGTGTTACATCAGTGGCTGTAACGTTAGTTCATCTTCAGACAATGAACTCATTTCAGTGTGTATTAATGGCTTGATGATGAGCTGTGAAAGACAGGCGTGGAGGACTGTGTGACTACTTCATAGCCATCACCAACAGACTGATGTCAGTGTAGCGGAGCATAGAACATATTAGTATTTGAGAGCAGCTCAGCAACACACTGCAACACTTCAGTTAAACTGACAAAAAAAGCTAATTTCTAAAGACCTGCGGCCATTTTGGATAACACTAGCCTTTCTGGCAGTAACACTGCAGCACAGACGCAGTATCCATCAAAATATAACCTAAAGAACCAAAATAGTACTCATTATGCAGATTGGCACATTTATATTAGTGGATTATAATTATTGATGCATTATTGTGTTCATCACATTTGATGCTCCAGCTGGTAAAGGTGGAACTAATTTTAATAACCTTATATACTTATATTATATACTTATAAGTACTTTACATACTGCTGGGTAGCAGTACTTGGTTTCGATGCTCATCAGATCCAGTTAGCTTAACTGTCTGTTAAGCTTCATAAGCAGCTCAGGGGGCGCAGGACAGAAATCTGTTGTTTGACACAGAAAACTAGAGTAAGAGCTAAAATATAGTAGCCTTCTTTTTTTAAATTGAATCAAACTGTTTTTGAATCAAAAATCATTCCGCATTGTACTGTGATACCAAGAATCTGAATCAAATTGTGACTTTGCAAAAGATGTGTGAGGAAACACTGCAGTTGTAATATTTTGATAATGATGTGTTTCAGAAAATCCTCTGATAATGTTTTCCTAAATGTAAATTTCTTTTTACTTTCACTTGATTTTCTGCATCTCTTTTTTCTTTCTCTTCTTGATGTTCAAGTGACCTTCAGCAGTGCCTAACACACGGGCCTGCTGTTCTTCCCTCGCTGATTCCATTGGCTGTTCTTGCTGCTTGGGAACTCACTGTTGAGCACATACAGTACATTCTGTAGGCCATATAGCACTGTGGCTTTTTTTTCTTCCATTTTCAGTTGTTCCTGTTGTGGGAAAACGGTCTGAATCAGTGGTCTGAATGAATTTCATTTATACGAGTGATTTTTGCACCTGAATATTTACATCTACTTGTTCATGCCATGCTT